TATTTCTTCTTTTCTCCTCAGTAAACTTAATAGCGATTAAATTTTGATCTTGAAATTAGCAGTTTTTAATTTTAATATTAAACTTTATCATATAATCTAGTAATTATTGATTAGAATAAATTCTTTTTTTAATACTATCCATATTTTAAATATTTGAATAGCTATTATAACATGACTTCGTTGTCAAGCATTTTTGAATTTTCCTATACTTGTATTTTGATTGGTCCATCTAGCTTTTGTAACAACGTTTTCCCTTGTGAAGGATTGTTAATTAATTCGAAACTTTTAAAACCATTTATTTTACATTCAACATCATAACTTGATAAGACACCGAGAGTGTTGAAACAAAATGGCTATTTTTGTAGTGATTTTATAACATATTTATGTTATAATTTTTTTTAAATAAATAATATATATATATATATATATATATATATATATATATATATATATATATATATATAGTTGAATCTATATATATACTTTAATATTACTATTATTTTAAAGCTGGTTATTTGCTTGTTTTTGATGACTGCGTTTGTTATCTTTATTGTTTTTTATATGGTGGCATTAAATAAGCTGGGGGAGGGGGAGTAGTTTACGTTAATAATTATAGCGGGTTTATATGATAATAGTAGATGTGGTGTGGTAGTAATGGTGTTGTGGGGATTGGTGGCGATGATAATATAAGTAGCTAATAGTTATTGTAAATTGGTAGTAGTGAGTAGTAATGGTGGTGGGAGAATATTAAAAATCAATAAATGGAATGATTGTGGTGGTAGCTTGAACTAAAAACTGATTGTTGGGGTTTTATTTTTTTTTCCGTTTGATATAAGTGGCATCACGACGACGATTTCCCTCCTCCACTCCCATAATAACACCAATAAACCCAATCTACATAAAACCAAAATTTTAAAAAATGAATCAGTTTGTCCGACGATCACAAAGCGTAAAACCCAGGGTCACAAACTCACATCATTCCAACCAAATATGTTAGCTCTCTCTTGATATTGAGCGCTTTTAAGTACCGAGCAAAATAACAAACACACACACACACACACACACACACACACACACACATATATATATATATATATATATATATATATATATATATATATATATGTATGTATATATTTGGGTATTTAGGTAGTAATCATTCATTTTGCATGATTCATTAAAATCGACAGAAAAGGTACGTCGATTATTTTTTATTTAATTATTCTTGTGTTAGAACAAGTGCTTTCTTTTTGGACACAAAGTGTTTAGAAATCTTGTAAATGTTCTATAATTCGAGGTTTTTTCAGCTAAATTTTTAGCCTATTATCAAGGATGTTTTATTTTCCGAAAATAAAGCTAGCATATTGTGGCCGTGTTACATATGTTTTCCTTTGTCTATATTCATCTATCATACATATATATATATATATATATATATATATATATATATATATATATATATATATATATATATATATATATGTGTGTGTGTGTGTGTGTGTGTCTTTTGGAACTCGGCTTCTGCGAATTTCTCAATCCAAGCCGCTAATACCCTTGGAAAGGTATGAATCCTCTTCCTCTCCCTCCAGCTATGGGTAAAATAGCAGGACAGACTGGGTTCTATAGCCTTGGATGGCAACTGGTCTAGGAGAACGACAACTCTGAATTCAAAACCTGCAGAGGGTCGTTTGGGGACGTTGTGGCATTTAGTGCACCAGGTCTCTGTATTCGTCCCTTCAAAAAGTGTGGATGGTCCTGCACGAAACCTTCACCACTATAATCAAATCTCATGTGCCGGTGTCGGGCTGTCGGTTTCCTGAAAAAAAGATCTGCTTGACCCTCATACGTCGAATCTCGACAGGATTTCGATTATATATATATATATATATATATATATATATATATATATATATATATATATATATATATATATATATATTTAGGGATAGAATCCAGGTAGTTAGCAATATATCAGAACAGTAAGAATATAGTATAAAATGAAAACACTAATATCCCATGGTTATAATTTCATTGTTTCGTAATATATATATATATATATATATATATATATATATATATATATATATATATATATATGAATTTTTATTTAATTATTCTTGTGTTCGAACAAGTGTTTTCTTATTTGGACACAGTGTGTAGATTACTATGCAAATGTTCTATAATTCCGAGCGCTTTCGGCTGTACTTTTATCAAAGAAAATAAAACACTTCTATAATACTAAAAATATACACAAAACGCACACACTCAATTAAACTGAAAAAATTAAATCATCATTGATACGGTCTAAAAGTATAGCTGAAACCGCTCGAAATTATAGAATATTTAGAGTGTTTTCCACCATTCTGTGTCCAAAAATGAAAACTCGTGTTCGAACAGAAGAAAAATTAAATAAAAAGGTTAATCGTTGTACCTTTTCTGTCGTTTTTAATGAAACAGGCATAAATGAAGGATTACTACCTAAATGCACACTTATCAAACAAACACACACACACACACATATATATATATATATATATATATATATATATATATATATATATATATATATATATATATATATAAATATTATATTAGATATTTTGAAAAAAAAGAAATAAATTTTTAAATTTGAACGTTTTATTTATTATTTTCTTTTTTAAGCAAATGCTCTTTTATTTAAATTTATTAAATCAAAACATTTTGAAAAAGACTGAATCTTAAAAAATATTTATCTTTTAACAATGAATTTTTAAAATTTAAAAAAAATATCTTTAATAAATAAATAAAATAAAAAAAAAATTTTTTTAAAATATAGAAATATTTAATATATATATATATATATATATATATATATATATATAAAATATATATATATATATAAATTATATAACTGAATTTGAAGTTTTTTATTTTCTTTTTTTGAAACATGGTAATTCCTGTGAAGCGATGGAAAACATATTTTTTTAAATCAGTTAATTTATTATATATATATATATATATATATATATATATATATATATATATAGAGAGAGAGAGAGAGAGAGAGATGATTTTGGTGGGAAAAAGATTGATAGAGATCCCTTATACAGAAATAGGAAGAATTGAAAAGGAAATTCATTTAGCAAGACAAAAAATCAAGAGATTGAGGATTTTGGTGTTTATGGGTTAAAATATGGCGCAGAATAAAGCCCAATTTGAAGGGAGCGACGATGAAGTTGGTAACACGCACACACACACACACACACGGTACGTAATGTGAGTATAAAAATCGACAATCTTCTGTTGCGTATACAAATGGCATAGAAGAGGAAGAAAAAGAGAGAAAAATGCAAACCTAAATCGAAAAAGAATGGGAAAAACAAGAGCTTTGAAGAGGTAGAAAAAGAAAAGATGAATTCGAAATTGTTAAGAGGAAAAAGGAAAGAAAAACAAAATCTAAGAGAAACATAGAAACGACAAAAGAAACATTAAATTACCAAACGTAACAGTCAAAATCTCCGGTACGAGTCGATGAGAATAAAAATCAAATCCAAGAAAAACATACAAAAATAAAAAATAAAAATTGCTGGCAAAAGAAAGCACCAAAAGGAAAAAAAAAATGCAAAACAAACATTTACGAACCTAAAAGAACAATTTAACGAAGAAAAAAAAAAACCTGTGTAACGAATGACGAACGCATTTTGTTGGCACTAACTACAATCGCGGAAGCGAACAAGATTCGACGTTCGCGGCGTGCAACTACCACGGTGCGTATGAATTTAATTTTAGCTTGAATTTGTCGGTTTTCGTCTTCAGTACTATTCACGGTTTCCATAGTTAAATTCTTTCATGTCTAAACACACTGACGACCAAAATGCACCGGTTTAAAAGAAATGCCTTTAATCTGCATACATAAAAGACATTTTGAAACACTTCCTTGCCCACATCACACGGCATGGTTTATTTCACAAATACAAGAGATATTCTTTTAATCATTTTACGCCAAGCAAGGCAATAAAGCCACTAAGACACAAGGGGTTACTGAGTGTGAAAGAATATGAGAAAAATAAATATTATTAAGAGAATATTAAGAGAACAATAAAAGAACGGGAATTAAGACAGAAGATAAAGATATTTGACGAACAAAGGAAAGCAATAGGTCGAAAAAACGACCCATCTATTCTTACGATTGAGTCAAGCACCAAAAGAACCCGTTTATCTCCATTCAGTTCAACATTTACCAAAGTTCCACATATTCGCCGGGAACCTACTAAAACTCCATTATTATTGACTAAGAACATAAGTTCTTATCCAATAGGTGACGTCTGAAAACGTGATTTCGTTACACACGTGACTGAAATTTATCAAATATTGAGTGTAACAGCAAAATTGTTCAATTCGTGTAACAGCATGGAGTAATTGTTCATCCCACAAAATGTTTAATATCTAAAAACTACAAAACTAATTGATTTTTCCCCAGGTTTTAAGATAACACATGATGGTTTATTTCACGAACACAAGGGACATTTTTTAATCATTTCAGCCCAAAGAAGGCAATAAAGCCAAAAAAGAATTAAAAAAAGTGTGAATGAATATGCGAAAAAAAAAAATTAACCCGTGTTTAAATTTTTTTTGCATGTATAAATCAATATATATATATATATATATATATATATATATATATATGTCTCATCTGCTTTCATATCTCTACATCCATTTTCTATTTTTTTTCTCTCTCTCTCTCTCTCTATATATATATATATATATATATATATATATATACCCTTTCAAAATTTTCATATCGATCTATTTCAGTCTGTTCATATCTATCTATCTATCTATATATATATATATATATATCTTTGTCTGTTTATATCTATCTATGTCTGTTCACATCTATCACAGACTGTTTCCCTTTCTCTCACTAGCTTCTTTTTTCATGTGCTCTTGAATAGGTAGGCGGTCATGGTTCTTCACATCTTCCTATTCATTGTAGAACCAAGCAAGCACCAACGCACTGTATGTCCCAGTCTCTTCTATCTCAGACTCTTAATATCTATCTATCCCACTCTGTTCGTATCTATCTATCTATCTATCTATCTATCTATCTATCTATCTATCTATCTATCTATCTCTTTAAATCTATCTATCTTTATTCAGATCTTTCTATCTATTTATCTATCTATCTGTTGTGTATGATACACCTAATTTACATAAGCGGACTACCGACCATATAAATATGGGTTGGTACCGGAAGACGGGGAAGATAGTAGAGATTAAGAAATTGAATCCAGAGACTCTGCCCGACTGCGATTTAGTCAACCCATTATGCAGGAACAGTCTTCCCAAGAATATACCAAACTAACTGTAAATATTGTGTACCTATTCTTTGTTTCAATACATTTTGTTAACGTACATTTTGTGTTGTATTATTCCATGCTTATTTAAGCTTCAACACTATCTCTAGTCAAATCTATCTTTATTCAAATCTATCTATGTCTAGTCAAATCTATTTATCTATCTTTATTCAAATCTATCTATCTCTAGTCAAATCCATCTATCTATCTATCTATCTATCTATCTATCTATCTATCTATCTCTAGTCAAATCTATCTATCTTTATTCAGATCTATCTATCTATTTATCTATCTATCTCTAGTCAAATCTATCTTTATTCAAATCTATCTATGTCTAGTCAAATCTATTTATCTATCTATCTTTATTCAGATCTATCTATCTTTATTCAGATCTATCTATCTATCTGTCTATCTATCTATCTATCTCTAGTCAAATCTATCTATCTTTATTCAAATCTATCTATCTCTAGTCAAATCCATCTATCTATCTATCTATCTATCTATCTATCTATCTATCTATCTCTTTAAATCTATCTATCTTTATTCAGATCTTTCTATCTATTTATCTATCTATCTGTTGTGTATGATACACCTAATTTACATAAGCGGACTACCGACCATATAAATATGGGTTGGTACCGGAAGACGGGGAAGATAGTGGAGATTAAGAAATTGAATCGAGAGACTCTGCCCGACTGCGATTTAGTCAACCCATTATGCAGGAACAGTCTTCCCAAGAATATACCAAACTAACTGTAAATATTGTGTACCTATTCTTTGTTTCAATACATTTTGTTAACGTACATTTTGTGTTCTATTATTCCATGCTTATTTAAGCTTCAACACTATCCCACTCTGTTCGTATCTATCTATCTATCTATCTATCTATCTATCTATCTATCTATCTATCTATATCTATCTCAGTTTTTTCATATCTGTGTCCTTGTCCTGGTTATGAATTTCTGGGTATTATAAACCTAAAGTCTTCAGCAACCATTTTTACCGGTGCTCATATTGCAATTTTGCTGTTATCATCACATTTATTTACCAGAGCTCATATTGCAACTATGTTGTTATCATTGCTTTTCTCTGGCACTCCTTATTACTGGTTCCCATATTGTATTTATTTCAAGGACACATGGCACAGTGGATAAAAGCGTTGGTTAGATCCAGTGACAGGACCCAAAGAGTGTGAGTTCAATACCCGGTTAAGGCAGTGGAGAACTTTCAGAGTGAAAATTAACAAGAGATAACTGATAACTGACATCCATCAAACATGGCACGTGGAACGAACAGTCTACCTCAGTGAACGGAATGAAGGTTTCAGTTCGACATTCCAACCACCTGAAGAAGGCCGGAGTGTACAACGGCCGAAACTTTGTGATAAATATGGCGACAAAGATGAGGACAATAGTCCGAATAATGTAAATAATGTACATAATACCTCATCTCAGAAATATAGACAGATACTGAAAGGCCGAAACGTTGTAATAAATATGGCGACAAAGATGAGGACAATAGTCCGAATAATGTAAATAATGTACATAATACCTCATCTGAGAAATATAGACAGATACTGAAAGGCCGAAACGTTGTAATAAATATGGCAACAAAGATGAGGACAATAGTCCGAATAATGTAAATAATGTACATAATACCTCATCTCAGAAATATAGACAGATACTGAAAGGCCGAAACGTTGTAATAAATATGGCAACAAAGATGAGGACAATAGTCCGAATAATGTAAATAATGTACATAATACCTCATCTCAGAAATATAGACAGATACTGAAATTATGAAACGTTGTAATAAATATGGCAACAAAGATGAGGACAATAGTCCGAATAATGTAAATAATGTACATAATACCTCATCTCAGAAATATAGACAAACTCTGTGCTTTGTTGATTGCTACAAAAGCTCTACAAACGACGTCCTTCAACTGATCGGTATTCTGATATCGTTCATGTAAAACTTTCTCCTTGATAATAATACCCAGCGTTGAAATAGAAAATGATATTATGCAGGGGTGACAGGTCTTTCGGACCACACTGTAGTTAGCAGAGAAGCAAGAAATCAGAAAGGAGTTACACTGACGAGACTTACGAGAAACGAAGTTGGTAAAATAAAAGAGGATAGTAGTCGAATGGTTCTATTAAATAACGAAAACGTAACATCTCAGAATTGTGAAGACAAATTCTTAATAAACGTGGATATAATTGTTATTTTTATACATTCAAGTATTTTTTTTGGAACATCCTCTGAGTTTTAAGAAAAAAAAGTCTATTCTTAATCTGTGTCTGCGAGTGCATATTTGACTCAACAATCTGAGTATATATATTTTTTTTCAGCGCACTTGCGTATCAGCAAAACAAACACTTCCTACGTAGAAGAGGTCACGTGGAGGCAAGCATGAGCACACGTCATCATAACTCACACACACACGCACATATATATATATATATATATATATATATATATATATATATATATATATGTTTGCGTGGTGTATATGTGTCTCGCCCTATGTGCTTTCCTTCCTTTCTTTATTTCTCTGGACAACTTGATAACTCGTGAGTATTTTGCTTATTCAATCGCATGTTTTCGAATTCCAAATAGAGTTTTTTTCATATAAGACACTGGCCCAATTAAACATGAAGTGAAGACTTTTACACTTTTTCCCCCAATATATAATAGACTCTCCCGTTGGTTTCGACGTATGAGGATCTGACAGCTTATTGATTCAGTTATGAATGTTTCTGCGATAATCTTATTGGCATTTAAGAAATATATATATATATATATATATATATATATATATATATATATATATATATATATATATATATATATATATATAAAGAGAGAGAGAGAGAAATATAAATATAAAAGTGAACATTGAAGTCAACGCTTAGAGGCGACAGGCTGTTTCATGCGAGACGCAATCGACAGGCGGACTGACAATGTTCACTTTTATATATATGCTAGCAGCATGGCCCGGCGTTGTCCGTGCTTGATTCAAAAATCGTACGACTCTTACAGCAATCGCTATCACTTGACTTAAAATATTTTTGCCCTTCCTTGCCTTTAAATGAATGCCTTTTGCCGTGCTGATGTTGCTACATGCCTTACTTCTTGCCTATCTCACACTGCGAATTTTTTCTAAGCTCTATACTAAACATTAAATCTGTTACGAAAAAAGAACTAAACAAAATGAACACAAAACGATCAGCTTTAATAAAGGTCTCGTAACTGGAAAAACCGAATGAAAAAAGAATGTTAACAACAAATACTTTTTTACACCCAACCCAGTTCTGTGGAATCAGAATCAACATTGAGTTTAAGCAAGCGAATCAGCCAATTGGAGTAAAGTGCCATGCAGATTTAAATTTTTCCCACTTTTGACGAATGCAGCTATCGATTTTTTTGCATGCTAGCATGCTAGCATGCTAGTTAACATTTGTGTCAGTCAGCTGTTTGCTGTCACGCTGGCCAATAGAATCTTCCTGCCTCTTCGTGGCAGCCAGCTATAGGCTGTCACCCTGGCCAGTAGAAAATGGCCGCAAACTACATCAAAACTGTCGTAGAAGCATGAAAAATCGATTATTTCCATTATGGATGGGAGTTTGGAAATGCAATGTCGGCCTTGGCCTTCCCGCTAACTTGGAGCATGTGCATGTAAATTTTCGTGCAAATCCGTCGAAAATTGCGGCCGGGCATTCGTTACACACACACACACACACACACACACACACGCGCACGCACACACACGCACACACACATCCTGCCTTTTATAGATAGAGATTTACATACGCTCTAGCTCTGATATTGAGCAATTTATTGCATAGATATACCACACCTTAAACTTATATTTCTTCCTATATATATATATATATATATATATATATATATATATATATATATATATATATATATATTTAAACCTTGTGTATTTAGGCAGCAATCCTTCTTTCATGCACATTTCATTGAATACGGAGGACAAGGTGCTTTCATTTAGTTTTTATACAATTTCTCACCTGAGCTAATAATAATTTTTTTTCTTTTCATGTGATAAATTATATATGAATAATGAAAAAAGGAAAATTTTTACTTACCAAAATGTTTTATTATCTGACGGACATTATCAAGTCAAATTTATGGTTTTTATTTTGCAACAAATATCTACATCGAAATCCTCGTTAGGCTTTCAAAAATGTTTAAATCTGTCTATATTTCTGAGACGAGGTATTATGTACACTATTTACATTATTCGGACTATTGGCCTCATCTTTGTCGCCATATTTATTACAACGTTTCGGCCCTTCAGTATCTGTCTATATTTCTGAGATGAAGTATTATGTACACTATTTACATTATTCGGACTATTGGCCTCATCTTTGTCGCCATATTTATTACAACGTTTCGACCCTTCAGTATCTGTCTATATTTCTGAGACGAGGTATTATGTACACTATTTACATTATTCGGAATATTGTCCTCATCTTTGTCGCCATATTTATCACAACGTTTCGGCCCTTCAGTATCTGTCTATATTTCTGAGATGAGGTATTATGTAAACTATTTACATTATTCGGACTATTGTCCTAATCTTTATTGTCTCATATTTATTACAACGTTTCAGCCAGGTGATTGGAATGTCAAACTGAACTCTTTATTTCGCTCCATGTGCCATGTATAATGGATATCATTTAATTCCCCTCGCCAAGTTCTCCACTGCCTTAACCGAGTATTGAACTCACATTCTTTGGGTCCTGTCACTAGATCTAACTAACGTCTTTATCAATCTGTCCTTGATGAAATCTTTGTATGATTTTCTGGGTATTATAAACATAATTTCTTCAGCAAACTTTTTTTTACCAGTGCTCATATTACACTATTTTAAGGACACTTAAGATAACATATTAAGAACAATTAAAATATTTTAAACTAACTGCAAAATCCAAGGTAAACTATGAATGAGGCAAATTGATGTAATTTAATACCTAAAATCGAAAATGAGTGAATGTATATATATATATATATATATATATATATATATATGAACGATGCGATGAGAACGAAAGTAATATATAAATCCCAGCGTTCACACCATTAATCCAAAAGAGGGCTCGAGGCTTCGTCTATATGATAAAATTATGAGCAATATATATATATATATATATATATATATATATACACTCACTCATTTTCGATATATATATATATATGTGTGTGTGTGTGTGTGTGTGTCTGTGTGTGTGTGTGTGTGTGTGTGTGTGTGTGTGTGTGTGTGTGTGTGTGTGAAAAATATATAGAAAATAGGAAAGAACTCGTTAGGTAAATAATCCAAAGTTCTTTAGTACTTTTGTTATTATTTTTAAAAAATATTGCTAGATACAAAAGTAGAGCAAAAATATAATTATTTATTTAAAAATATGATTCCAACGCTACATAAGAGTTTTCATGTTTCAAAACAAGATTTGAAAACTTCAATAGAATTATTTGAATTAAATTGAATTATTAAATACTAAATTCTGTTCCATCTTCAAGCGAATTTTTTTTTTTCTTGAAGATGCAACAGAGCTTAGTACTTTAATGATGTTTAGTTGAATAATATAGACATATTTCGCCTGTATAATTTTATTAAAAAAATGATTAAAGATATCTTACTGGAATTCTTCGAGGTTTTTATAACACTAGTGAACTCTACTTTAAGCAATAAAAATGTATAATTACTCTCCAATCCCGATGAAATCGATCATAAGCGAAAATAAAATTTTATCAATGATTAATCATTTATAAAATTTTTATCATTAATTAATCATAGCTAAGGATCGGAAGCTTATGAAATATTGAAATTAAATTCATACACACACACACACACACACATATATGTTTTAATCCCCACTTTCTGTTCTTCTCTCGTCTGTTAACCCTCTCTAAAGCTTTCATTTACTTTCAGACATACACTC